TCTGATAAAGGTTTTTTTTCTCTGCACATGATGGGGGAACAATTTGTTATTTGTTCCATAAAGTTCCATAAAATTTGACTGAAGTTAAATTTCACTCAATTTGCCGTTAATTGCTACTGTATTTTAGTGACAGATTCTTTCAGATGACAATGATTGATGTTATTATTATTTTATATTCAGTAAATAGATTTTATATTCACGTATTCATTTGACATAATATTAATCATTTTATGTTTTTTATTAATTAAAGAGAAAAAAAACATGAAGCAGCAAGGAAATCTTTTAGTAGTGGAAATCTTTTTCTGCGCTTGAAAAAAATATTTCATGTTGAAAGCATAATGTATTATCCTTTGGAAACTTGGCCATTCCATGTTGTTTAACACAAGCTGTCTTGTTCTACAACATGTCCAACATGTCCTAAACTTGTTGTCAAGGCACTCCATACTGACTCCATCACATCAATTCTAGTCATCGTGCACACACACATACATAGATATAGATATAGATATTACGTTAGTAAAATCTCAAATGCAGTGGTTTCTAATGATTTGGCAGAGTACAACAAAACAGGCTGCTATTAGCAACTCGTCTAATTTTGCTGCTTGCTTTTTATACAATTAGGATTTGATATGATAAACAGTATGAGTCAACCACTAAACATTTAGAACCACTAGAACATTTTCTAATAACCAAACGTGAGATACTTTACTTTTATGAATATTTAATAAGATTCATTTGAAATGGCTTACATAAGAAACATATTACACGCACACACATACATACGAAACTTTAACCAGTCTAAGATGATTTGTCTTCCAGCCTGATCCAATATGTCTGTCTGCTTGGTTTTAAAGCGTTTTTCCAGCTTGGCAAGACACAAAGACCAGCTAAGACAGGGGCCAGTTGCACAAACTGCTTAGACTAGTCTTAAAAAGTTATTCATCTATTTTTTTTTTCTTCAAGACTGGTCATAACTTTTTAAAATCAGTTACGAAAACGTAGACTGGTCTAATTTGAATGAAAAAGTAACAACAAATAAGATGACTAACTTTTAAGACTAGTCTCTAAGCATTTTATGCAACCAGCCCCAGAAAGACACTTTAACTAGTCTTACGGTGTATTTTATTTATTTTTTTAAATTCCAGCAGGTTAGATAGATTTAAGCTGCCTATGATTTCTCTTGTATGTTTTTACTGCTTCCTTTCAGTGGCACATTTGATGAAGCCGTGAACACACTGGAGTTGGTGAATCTGTTGCATTAGTATTCTCATCCTATGAGAGTGCAGTGTGTTCAACCACGTCATGCCTCAAGCAACTGCACCTATCAAGGTTAGAATAGCGCTCTTAGATCACCTTCTGCTACCTACTCTCAATAAACGCCATGTAGAGTTTATCATTTCAACTTGCGGCGCATATTAGTCTATTTCGAGTAGCGATTATTTGTCGCGGGGAGGTGTTTCGTTTAAAAGCGGCTGTTATTTCTTCGTTGAAGGACTATACGGGGCATCAAGAGATGTTTGCATCTGGTTCTTTGTTATCGCATTTCTCTCTGCTGAAGAAGATGAAGCCCTGCAAGGACACTTCAGCTGTCTGCTGGAGTGAATGAAGGTGACTCGGCTTCTGCATCGTGGCAATGCGGAGAGAATCCAGGAGCAAGACACGGGCAGATCGATCAATTGAGTAAGAAAAAACGAGTTGCAGCGCATTGATCAATCAGCATTTTATATCAGGGCAGTTTCTTCACTTGATGTGTATGCATGAGTTCTGCACCGAATGGGCGCAAAAACCGCCCCAGATCTGCCGGGACCATTTTCCAGATCGGCAGTAAGCCCCCGTCCAGAGAGCCGGAGCGCCGGGAGAGCAGCGAAGCTCTGCGTGCCGTAGCGGACTGCAGAATGGTGCGTATAAGCCTGCGTCACGACCCACAGCATTATTCCTCTCTGAATCCTGCTGATTGTTCAAGCATTATTTGAAATTCACGCAGTGTTCTGCAAGTGCCAACATCCTAAATGTATAATGCGACACTAGGGACGTTACACATTGAATAATTTGGCTTGGAGGTCTGTGACTTGTCCTATGGTGCGGCGGTAGTTCCAGCTTCATTGTCTCGGGCTGATTTTCCAGAAACGTTTCATTTGGCAGATTATGGCATGATCCATGATATGGAGAGTTAGTGCTCCATTTTAGGTTAAAACTGCGAGCACATTTGGAAAGCACACTGGCTTGTGTGTTGTGTTTGAGGAGTCTGCCCCATTAACAGGCACTCAGGCAGAAGGCTTGTGGCAAGCCATGTTAACATTGACCAATTGCTTAGAATTTTTGACATTGAATTCTGTGGTGCAGATTTAGCTGTTCATTATGACTAGAATAGTTACCAGCAACAACTGGGATGCACATTAGTGTTGCTATAAGTGCTGGAGTATTTGTAAGCAACTTGTGGCCAGTCAGTAGTTGACATCTGACCCACAGATTCCTATATAATTCGACAAAAATATGCAGTAGGCTATGTATAATGGAACAGTTGTCGCTATAGTAGTGAGTGAATAAGTGCTAATGACTGAATAGAATAGATACTAGTCACTACCAATGTTCCCTCTAAGTATTTTTCTTGCTGAGCAAAACTTTTCTCTATTGGGCGGACATTTTGGCCACCTGAGCAAAAACATTCTTTATACCAGAGCTGTACAGCTCACACACAATAAAAGTGTGAAACTTTTAACTTTAATGTGCTATTTACATTTGATTGATGTAACTAAATGATGCACATTTTAGGTTATCTGAGAATTTTTTTTTTTACAGTGCTGTGTTACCAAGTAATTTTATTTAATAAATCGTTTAAAAAATAGCATGCAGTACAGTTCAATTCTTTATAATAATGTAATATAATATAATATAATATATAGTATTAAACTAATATGAAAAACTAATATGAAAAAATGAAGCAGTTCTCTTTCTATGAAACCTTTAAACTGCATTCACCGGTTCTAACTCTATAGCGACACCAACTCTATAGCGGTTTGCCAGAGCATTGCAATTATTTTACATTTCATTTTTGCGTCTGTCCTGTGCGAGGCATATTATTTCTTCTAAGCGGTCGCGACATAAGAAGTGCGCGACCGCGCATGCGCGCAGCTTAGAGGGAACATTGGTCACTACTGAAATAAATACTCATTTGTAATGAATAGCTACTACTGAAATAAAAAGAAAGCATAGCAGTCACTATGAGATTGCTAATGAGTAATTAAAAACATGAAAACATGCAAGTAATATAACAATAGATTCTAAAGGTATTTATGTTAAATCAGCTTGCCATTAAACGCTTCCTTTCCACCAAATATTGATAAAATGGCATGAGCATCTGTTGCTTGTGGCGCTGCTCTCCAACAAATAGCCTGTTTTACCTTTGTGACATTGTCAGGTTGTTCAGAATGAAAAAAAAATTCTTGACATTTTGGATACATGTCATTTCATCAATGTGTTGTCACGTTTCATTTATGTGCTTCATACATTTTCGAGGTTAAAATGATTTTGTGAGCCTTACATTTTCTCAGTTTGCATTTGTTTTTCCTTTCTTCCATCAGGTTGTCCAGGAGTTCAATACACTTGTGGCCCTCTATAGGGAGTTGGTTATCTCTATTGGAGAGATTTCCGCTGATTGTCCCTCTCTGCGTGCAGAAATGCACAAGACACGCACAAAAGGCTGTGAGATGGCACGGACCGCACATCAAAATCTTTCTGCAATATCAGGGTAAAAACATAGTTCTGTACATGCATATAGCCCATGCTTTATATATATATAGAATGGCAGAGGATCCCCAAAGCCAGGTGTGAAGAACTTGTTGCATCTTTCCCAAAAAGACTCATGGCTGTATTAGATCAAATGGGTGCTTCTACTAAATACTGAGCATTTTTCAGTTTTTCTTTTTTAATAAATTTGCAAAAATGTCAACAATTCTGTGTTTTTCTGTCAATATGGGGTGCTGTGTGTACATTAATGAGGAAAAAAAATTAACTTAAATGATTTTAGCAAATGGCTGCAATATAACAAAGAGTGAAAAATTTAAGGGGGTCTGAATACTTTCCGTACCCACTGTATGTACATTACATGTTAGCATAGTGCATTTTAATGTGGGAGGGTCAATGAGACATTTAGCTGAACATTAGCTTCTTTAGCTTTGTTTGAAATTAATATTTTATTTATTTATTTATTTTTCATTTCTTTTACAATTTTTTTAAATCAAGTAATAATTAGCTTGCAGTACCCCTGAGGCCCCTCTAGGGGTCATGGGCCCCCTGTTGAAATCATGTTATATATTATGAAACTGACAAAATTTCACCTTCACAGCAACATTTAGGTAATAAATATCAGCTAGTGCTGACTGGCTTACCATGCACTATATTTGGAAAGCAAGATAAATGTTAATTAAGTTGGAAATGATGCATTCTACTGTGCATTTACCATAAATCACAGATCTGTGACACAATTTCACATTCTAAGAACACAATAAATCTTTACTATAGCTCTCAAATTGCCCTCCCCAATATTTGAAATTCTTGCACTGCTCTGCTGCACTCGATTATGCACCACTCTGTTTGCTGTTAGGATGACAAAAAGGTTTAGAAAGTGACATTTTAAGATGGTCTGCTTAGCGGTCTGACAGCGCTCGTCAATGTCAAAATGATTGAGATTGCCAGTCAAATCAAAGAAGGCGAGGTTTACTGTACACAAAAAACGAGCGTGAATTCCAGCACCAAGCTTCAGTTTTAATGTTAAAAGGAAGCAAGGTAAGATGGAA